ACATACATACATACATACATACATACATACATACATACATACATACATACATACATTCTGTGTTGCATTTGCCTATATGTCGTTAGTAAACCAAATTGCAGTATATGAGACTGTATACTACAATTTACAGTGATACGGCCAGTGTAGGAATACAGCTGGTACAAGATAAACAAACATGGCCGCCCGATACTTTCGGTATCAATAGGCCTATAGTAGTTCGTTAGCATTTAGCAATATAGGTCATCACAAAAAAATAAAGCAACTTGACAAATTATGACAATATAAATTTATTTTAAGATGTGTAGGTACCACAAAATTATTGTAAGCGCCATTCTAGATACGAAATTACCAAGTTTGTCAACGTCATCACACAGGGGATTGGTTTCGAGATTTTGAGTTATGCATAACATCAGTGAATAACCACAACACTAAAATTCAGCATTTCTAAAACCTTGTAAAAGTCAAGGGTATCAACAAGGTTTTAAAATGTGTATAAATACCTTTTTAAGTGTTGTGGTTTTTCAGTGATGTCATCCATTACTCAAAATCACGAAACCGAGCCCCTGTGAACGTCGTCTGCTAGCGATGCTAATCTGACCGATTAGACATGGAATCTATTTCAAACGAAATGTCCTTGGAATCGTTATCACCTAATGAAAGGACCACTTTAATTAAACGTTTCCGAGTATATATGCTTCTGAAAATAACGTAATATTCCAGTCGAAGAAACCAATCAAGTCCGTTCAGCGCCGCATCACTTCAAAATACATGTAATCTATCAATGCGCGAAAAATAGCTTTAATTTTAAACAAGCAGAAGATATGCAATCATTAACAATTTTTCAACATAAACACACTCATATGAAACAAATAATAAAGTTAAGTTTGTGTTCAAACCATTTTATGTGCGTGTGATTTTCAATGACACGAGGGACTATATTATTTCTTCTGGAAATGTCGGCTGTTCTGGGATTTGAACTTACTGACGTCTCTGATATGATAAGCCGGAAATTCAAACGTATTTTTGCTTCAGTTACTATACAAAACAAACTATATACATTCAATGCTTAAATACATACATACACATACATACATACATACATACATACATACATACAGACATACATACATACATACATACATACATACATGCATACATACATGCACACGTACGCACGCACGCACGTACGCACACACACATACTTCAGCGCTCGGCATATATACAAGTTCCCTCCACGATTTAACGATGAGTTGTTACTACTCGAATATAAATGTCCAACAGTTCCCTGTAGATCACATAGTCTTCCGTTATCTTACATATATATATCTATTACTCATGTATGTCATTCTTGCTTGTGTTTTGTCACTGATTAACGATGAATTAAGCATAACAAATTTTAGTAGTGTGACCTAGCCTGATGAAAAAGTCTTTATTTATATATGATGTTTTTTAAACGATTTATTACGAATTATTACTCGTTTTCAGCCGAACGCGATGAGTGGCGTTGAACGTATACAACATTAACAAACTGTAAGGATGTGGTATAAAGAGGACTGTCTACTCATAAGTCGGTCACCACAGTCACACATGGATCTTGCTCTCGTTAGTTGGTTTTCAAAAGTAATAAAAAGTCAGATTATATTGTTGTATATTAAAAATACCTACGGTAAATCTCATCGAAAAAGCAAAGTCGGTAAATGTCGAGTCTTTAATTTTAAAAACCGATCGGTATATCTCTTTTGTTAATTAGAAAATAAGCCTAATTGATAGAGATGAGTACGATAAGGAACCGTTACTCGTTTTGGGAGCCTCTCGATTCATGTACGTTATTGTAATGCTTATAGTGTGTGTGTCACTGCACCAATACTACCCATAGTATATCAACGTATTATGTACCACTCTATATTTAGTATATAGCTATGATTGTAAGTTCCTATACTCCTTTTTGCTACAAGACTACATATGCTTCTTTATGTTTTATACTGTGATATTGAATCATTATTCCATGCTAAAAATACCAGATTTATTTTTTCGGACATGTGTATTTAATTTAACTGAACATCAACAATGCTCGAAGCAATAGTATTGAATTGTTAATTGTGTTATGATCCGTGTGTCTTGTGTTTTGATTTTAACATTGTTTGTAGATACTTTGTAACCGCTCGATTAAAATGATATTTTGAATGACTTTAGATTGTTTGTTATCAATACAGTTGTGTCATGCTATTTATAATGTTGGGACACATTGTACACGTAAAACCTGTGAGTCGTTACTTCCTACGTTATTGTTCCCCAGTCCAAATCACACACCGCTTATTTCACTTTTATTGTAGCTGTGGTACAGTGGTGGATCATTCGGTGGAGCGTATCTGTCCACTTTCACTTTTATTGCAGTTGTGGTACAGCGGTGGATCATTCGGTGGAGCCCGTATTTCCACTTTCACTTTTATTGTAGCTGTGGTACAGTGGTGGATCATTCGGTGGAGCGTATCTTCCCACTTTCACTTTTATTGTAGCTGTGGTACAGCGGTGGATCAATCGGTGGAGCCCATCGTTGTCGTCCACCGTGCGCCGTGCTCCGCGCGCCGTCCGTAAACTTTCAGCATTTTCAACTTTTTCTCAAGTTCCAACTGTTGGATTGAGCTGAAACTTGCCTAAAATGATCCTGAGATGGTCCTGACAAAGTGTATTTTTCGGGTCGGTCCAAAATCCAAGATGGCCACCATTTAAAAAACACATTTTAAACTTCTTCTCCAGTTCCACTGGTGCCATTGAGCTCAATATTGGTGGGGTTGTTAAGGAAAGGAAGCCGAACAAAAGTTATTTTTTAGCCTCGACAAAACTTCAACATGACAGTCATGGTGGCCATTTTGTAACATGATTGCGCGATAATGGTTTTCCTAAACAACACCTATTTTAAACTTCTTCTCAAGTTTCACCAGTGGATTGAGCTAAAACTTGCCTGAAGTGATCCTGAGATGGTCCTGACCAAGTGTTGTTATTTTTCAGGTATGCTCGTTAATGCCAAGAGTAGATTTTAACAATTTCAGTATGAAACATCATTTAGAAATATCCATGTCTTATATAAATGAGGTAGGTTTTACCACTGTTGACAGCGGGACGGGGCCTTAAAAGGAGAAATCTATTCAGATTTAGGTTTAAATGCTTTCTGATACTTTACTAACAAATAGTTACCCACTGCTGACCAAAACTACCTTCATGGAAAACAAATTCTTAGAATATTTCATTCAAAGTTGAAAAGTGACCATTCTCCCGACAGTCTTTGTAGTTAGATGACCGTTTAGACCATTTTGGCCTCTTGTTATTCTACTTAGTGTGCCCTGTGGTGTTGTTGTCACTTCACGAGTTCTCGGTTTTAGGACCTGACACTACTTACATGTATTTTCGATTAAGATTTACATGGCGGGTGTCGTAGATAAGCAGAACACGCTTGTTATCCTTGTACTCTGTCAATGGCCAAACAGGTATTGTTTTTAATATAATATTAATATACAACATTTGATATAGCGCCCTATCTAGCTAACATAAGTCGCTCTAAAGCGCTTTACAGTACGTAGAAATACAATTTATACTATCAGCATATACATAAATCAATACAATTTTGAGGAAATCGCAGGCACCGCCTTATCAGGCGCTTACTTCTAGTCCTATGCCACCTGGTTTATATCTCCCTCTGTATTCATTCATATGTGCTGGAGATGTTATGTGTTCTGTTTGTTATGGGACCGTTCTTCCAGCGGAATCATTTATAGTGCCACCTCACTTGAATGCTACATCACAGATACCGTAACATCCACCCAATACCAATCTATGCTCCACCTGGGTTGTGGACATCCATGCGTACGAAGACCGAACCCCGGCAGCCTGCGTGGAAGTCCGGAGTATTAACCACTCGACCAACCCGCCCATTTTTGCTAAACTATTTTAATCACAATCAGACTGTAACACACTGAATACAATACGTCATAGCCTCATCTTACAATATTACATACTATAAACAATTGTTTCGTATAAACTAACATTTGTGTGCGAATTCTATTCAGGTATTCAATATGGAATATCAATCGTTAATACATTGAGTCAGCTTATATAAATGGTTTAGCCTGCGTGCGTTACGTGGTTAACAGCGTGTGTTCCAGAAGACAAATTCTGTATTGAGTATAGATCAATAAAAACCGATTTCAAACAGGTTATGTTGTGAGAGATGTTTCATCGACATAAGCCTTCATGTCAACAGACACACACACAGGTAGATGTATAGTGTGACAAGGTATCAGGGTTCAAAGTCTATGTAAACACAAAAGTTATCTTTGTTAGAGAGTAGACGGCAGAAAACAGTCAAACGAATGTGGTTAACAAGCGGGTTCACTGTGTATATGGATGTCTGTTATTTGAAGGCAAATATGACTTATTAAGGATAATATTAGGACACCAGCAACGTCAAAACAATTTATTGTAATGTGAAAAAATAACAACGTGTTTTAAGTTAATTACATAACTATTGTTTATTATCAAGTACAAAATATATTTAAACACCCAATTTCATTAAGGAAGGGAATACTGCGATGCCATATATTCATTACATATGGATTTTTTTCCCTCAGTTCTATTTAGGTCCTGATATGGATGTGTAACAGAATGTTAGATAGCATGTATTTTTCTATGTGGTAATCGTAGAAATTGCTGCCTGCTGATTTGGCCTTCTATTGTGGAATGTTACCCCGCCAGTTTCCTCCTGCTTACGGCACATCTTACGGCAAGCTGCACAACAGGTACCCACTAATAAGAGGCTTGCTACGATTCCAGATATAACTCCAGCAGTCCTAAACAATTACACACACAAAAAGAAACTAAGATTTCAAGTATTTAAATATCGGTTTTTTTAATAAACATCTGTCAAAAGATTTGAATTGTAGCTTAACTATTGTTATTGACCCAATCATCAATATGTTCACTTGGAAACTCTGTTTAACACAGACTTAATTGATTTTCTTCTCTTTCCAAATAAATGCTGAACATAAATAACTAATATTTGCATTGAAATGGTGTGGTCACACTTTATTTCAACGGTATAATCCAGTGTGTGACTGTAAATACAAATATAATATATGTTTTTTTTAAGATGTAATACATAATGTCTTTACTACTTATATATCATATATGTATATATCTTGGACAGATTCATTTCGAATTTCGCATCATATACTGACAACAACTTCGTTTTTATCTAAAGTAGGTATCTCAGATAATCCTCTATGTACTTTTTGTAATCCAGTTGAAGAAACTTTAGTGCACTTATTATGGGAATGCCATGAAGTTCAGTCTTTTTTGCAAAGTTTTGAATCTATCCTAGATGCATTGCTAATTCCTTTCCAATACAATAAAATCACTTTCATATTAGGATTGTTTACACAAACAGAACGGTTTAATAAGAGCGATAATGAAATACTTTTCATAATTAAGCAATACATTTACAGTTCTAGATGTAACAATAGAATGTTGAATAACAACTCTTTAATTCTAAAAATCAAGGACCATTACACAGTACAAAGTTATATTTCAACTGCTTAAAGGCGAATGCTATATGCAGAGATTGAATGCATACTGGGAAAAATGGATGCGGCTAATAGAGCTGGTCGACTAATTTTAAATACAAGTGTAGTTATTAAGATGTACGTACACACATATACACAAGTTTATTTTGAATATATGTTAATTATGAATTAATTCTATTGAAACTGCCAAGAACTCTGGCAATATATTTTGCTGGTTCTGGTAATAGATTTTTAAGTACTATATATGAGTATAGTTTGACATCCCTGTCTCTGGCGTCTGTCCCTAGAATTCATCAATATGATATTTTTGTAACAGAATATCTATGCCTATTCATTCCTTTTCTTTTTCCGTTCATCTCTCTTTTTTCTCTTTCCTTCCTTTTCGACAATATTATACACATATCAGATATAGCAATTACATGAGTGTTATCTTTTTAGTTGATAGAGTGTATGTGAGTGTGTGCGAGTGAAAGCGTATAGGAGTGGGTATATATATATCTGTTCGTGCTTTTTAATGAAGTGAAGTACATGATTTGGTTCTGAAATGAAATGTAACATGATGTGGATTATATTGTCCGACATAAAATGTGTATACATGTAATAATATATTAAAAAGAAAAAATGTTATGTTGATCTTCCTCATTATGAATGAGTTAATCATGATTGTTTAGTATGTTGATGTCAAATATTGAGTGTACCAATTAAAAAAATGATTTTCCAGTGTGGTTCAGTGGCTGTCTGTTGAGGTGTGTTACTGATGACAAGCATTGTATGGATGTTGACAATGATGATGATGATGATAATGATGATGATGATGATGATGATGATGATGATGCATAGTTTGAACGTTTATGATCAGGATGCTGATGAGATAGTGATGCTGATGATGATGTTGAGGATGATGATGGTTGTGAGGATGATGATGATAGTGGTTATGATGATGACGACAACAATCAGGATGGTGTTGCTGAGGATGATGATGATAATGATGAAGATGATTGTGAGGATGATTGTGATGACAACAACAATATGGATGATGTTGTTGAGGAGGAGGAGGATGATGATGATGATGATGATGATGATGATGATGATGATGATGATGATGATGATGATGATGATGATGATGATAATGATGAGGATGAGTGTGAGGATGATTGTGATGACGACAACAATCTGGATGAGGTTGATTCTGGTGATGATTGTGATGATGATGATGATGATGATGATGATGATGATGATGATGATGATGATGATTGTGAGGATGACGATTCTGATGAGGATGATGAGGAAGATAATAAAGGCGATGATAATGTTGACGATGATGATGACGACAACAATCATGTTGATGAGGATAATAATTTTGATTCTGATGATGAGTGAATTAAGTGTCAAAATGTGTGTTAGAGAGTGTGAAAATAAAAATACCCGTTTTGTATCTATATTAGGAAAACACGTTTGAAAAATAAATTGATAAGAAAAATTATATATCTTAAACAGATTCCATATGACCAGTATAATTGAGAATGACAACAAGTTTCCCGATGAACCCATCTATTGGCAGAAACAGTAGCAACATCTGTACTATGTCTTGTCATTTGTTTAATATATAATTATGTTATGATACTTACAGACCGCCACTGCTGGGGGAAGAGGAGGAGGAGGAGTAGTAGTAGTAGTAGTAGGTATAATACACTTTGTAGTAGTATGTGTAGTAGTACACTCCGGAGGACGAGGTGGACACAGCCGTCTTGTACTGTCGCCGACAGCAATACCTGACATCGGATGACCCACAGCACGCAGTGCTACAGTACATTGTGGTCCCCGTGGACGACCGACATCTAACGGCTTCAGTTGGTACAGTCAATCCTACGGTAATTCGATATCATGTATTCCTACTTAATATCGTTATCATAATTCCTTCATATTTTTGTTTTTCTTTTAAGCATTTTCAAACTCTAGTCCATTGCTGGCTTTTATAATATTGAAAAGCGGTAGAGCGGATTTTAAAATAAGACCTTTTTTCATAATGAACGTCAGTTTATCTGAATATTACGAATAATAAATAAAACAAATTGACTTACCAAAAATAGAAATACAGAAAATTACACAACCAAGAAAATGCTTCATCTTGAATATTTCGATTTCTCGTTGTAGAGGCGATATCGATAGTTAAATTAGAATGTGTATTGAACGTCGTTGTCATGTTGTAACCTAGCCAATAAATAACACACAACAAACATAAAATAATCGTTTGATCAGTACAATAAATCAACAGTGAATCAGCAGGTTGAAACAAACCTAGAGGACCACTTGATAGAATTACGAGCGGTGTGGCACGTGACGAAGCCAAACGCAATAAAATATTTGGGAACTGTTTTAATAGTTTTTGTGTTGAATGATTATCTTAGGCAAGAGCGTGCCATTGCATGACAAAAAGAATGTAAATTTAAGTTCAAATCAACAAAGACAATCTATATTGGAGGAAAAAATATTTATATCCCACTGAACTGTGTTTTGTATCACATAAACGCAATTCAATATATCATACGCATTCTGCAAAATAGCAAAGTGTCAATAAAACTTTAGTTTGATTTATCTTCCTGAATGTTTTGCTGTGTGATTATTTTAAGCATACGAAATTGTTTTTCCTGATTTCTTTAAGTCACGTTTACAATTTAGATGGTCTTTGATAGTAAATGATATTGCCGGAATGTCTTTTCGTTTTATTACTTTCATTATTCTCTTATCTCCAACGTTTTTGTTGCGAATTTTATGTTTTTCTGATAACCCATCCTACATCACATCCAACGGATACAGGCCTAAAAGTCCTCGTATATAAGAAAGGGCCATTCATCCACTGAATATACAGGATGCGTTTCCAAGAATACACATTTTGTAACATGTTTTCACAGATAGAGGGTTAGATGTTATACATGTTGACAGAAACAAAACTGTAGAAATAAGTTTCAGTTCTACAAAGGGGGGACTAAAAATATGGTTATTTCTTAGCGGATATGTTACATATATATTATCGTAAAGGTCTGGTTAAATGATGGCTTCTAATATTATAGGTTTTATAGAGACAACGAGTACAACTTAAGATATTACAGATATTAAAACAATTCACTCTAGAGGTTTATGTTCTATAACACACAGTTACAACTATAATCAACAATATTTTGTATCGCATGTAACAAATAAATATAGTATTATATGATACATGCAAAACACAATATAAAATGTATTCAATTACAGTTAAACAAAACATCTTTATATATGCAAAAATCACAAATATTGGAATATATTACATAAAACCTACAACAATATAGGGAGAATGTATCTGACCACTAAATCAAGATATGTGTATCATAGGAACAGTATTCTAAGTGTCAAACGTGACAGAACCCTTGCTTACGAATAGGACAAGTGTTTCTTGGAAGAAAGGTTAGAGATACTGTATGATGTTTGGGATGTGAAAGTGTATCAGATTGTTTGACAATATCACAGTTTTTAAGTTTTGTTAATTTCAAATGAAAAATCCATATCTTAGTTCTATAAATACAAAGACTTTTCTTCTTTCATATCTACCTATGCTTTTTCTATTTTTGGTTCAGCACATAAATTTATGTGTATTAATTAACTGTATGTTGAAGTACTTCTTTAATGTAATAACATTTCAAGGGAGATGGCTTGATATAAGATTTAAAATCTTGTTGCCAGATCCTATTAATATTCCTATTAATCTGTGTACATATTAAATGCGCTGTATGAAATAAATTTTGTTTAAGTCAAAGGTATATATTAGTCGTTTGAAATGGAATAGAGACTCCATATCTTCAAATAAATGATAAATAATGTATTGTTTTGACCGTGCCATTATTTGAACACTAATAATTGTGGTTATCAGGGTTACAGCAAATCAAAGAAATCCATCAGCATAGTCAACCTCCTTACACTTTGAAAAATGAACGTATCACAAACACAGTAGGCCAAAATTGAATAACACAGCATCATAACGCTTTTCCCTCCCTGTAGGACTCATCGCTAAGGACCAAAAAGTTGGAAATACAAATTGGTCTAAAACTCCTTTAGAACAGAATTCTAGGTGCGTTAAACCGCTTAATTAATAGAGTTCCAAAAATTAGAAAGGAGTATTCAAATTATACTGTAAGATTAATATCGTAGTTGTTATAGAGTAACACTGTTGTCTCTAGAACGAAAATTCTTAAACAACATTTCCTTCTAACTTCCTGATATTATAGATGAACATAGTATACGCTAAATATTGGTCCACCTGAATAAATAATAGCCAAAATGACTATGAGATAAAAGAAATACATCGATTCAATGTCACCATTTTTGTATCCAGAACTGCAGTAAATGCATGAAAGATTGACAACAAATTTGGCGATACCTTATTACAAGTTGTCAGTGTAAGCCAATTTATAGATACATTGCAACTGTTCATATTCAATTTTGTTTAGGTTCATTATACAGTTATTAGATGGTATCAATTCTTTCGTATGTATCATAATATGTTCAAATACCCATTTGAGCTGGTCCTTTATAAATGCCATCACAATTCTTTATATCTCCATGGTCCCAGTCCCACTGCAGTAAACACTGGAGTATCACATTTTAGTTATTCGTATACACAGTAACCTTCTCTTTATTTTGTTTTTTGATACTGAAACGCAAAATGGCCAGAGTACTTTCGTTGATCAGGAAACTCAGTTGGTCAGAGCGACGGTGGTCTAACTTAATGTTCACCACATAACATGGAATAGCTGAAAATGGTATCAGATGTAAAAGCATAAAAAAGGAAAGATTTAAGAATATTTCCGATTTGATATCCCTAAATTATAACGACTTTTTTTCTTCTTCAAAATTCGCTGACGTTAAATGAGTTGTTTTTTCCATGGAGTAAATGTAACATACACGTAAGTTAATCAAGTAGGTTAAGTAATAAACGAACCACCCGGGGTTAATCTATATCAAAAGTCGATAGTTACATTCAAACGTCTTACTTCTGGATTCGTACTGTCCTGTTGGCAATGCTGGTGTATTTGCTGTTTCTAAATAAATGAATCTGCAAACGTCATTGAATTATTCAACGACATATCAACAAATTGCTTTCTTATAAAAATGGTGTTATCGATTAGTCGACCCACACAGCGATTTATCCGTCAACTTCCTCAATGATAAGATCAAATACCTATTTCATGTATCTAGGTATTGAAACATCTCTGTCACTCTGTACACAACCCTTGATAGCTTCGTAGCTTTTTTCTCTTCACATTAAAATATCTTTATTTTTATATAGCACGGCCAGTTGAAGTAAGTTCATTGTAACAACATAACTGCTAATTAACGCGAAAATGAAAATTTCGTAGAATACGAGATACTTACATCATATATAGAGGATATTCAATGGTGTCTTCATTAATAACAAATATATTCACGAGT